CTGATTAATTGAGCTTCTTCTCTCTTAATGCTCTTAATCTGTAGCGTTACGAACCACCCTTTCATTTTGTTAACTTCCTATATTATTTCAGCTCTTACTTGTTTCAATGCTTTCTGCTCACAATTCACTACTTAAGTCTTTTATTGTGTTTGCACAACTCCTTGTTAAAAAATCAGCTTCTTCTAAACTGCTATTGATGTTCACCATTACCATCTTGAACCGGAGACAAACTATCCTGTTTCTTAATATGTCCATCGAATTATCTGAAATACAGTTAAACTAGCAGTGGTACCATTTCAGTTGATTCCTGATTGAATGATGCAGTTGGGTGACATTTTGTTTGAGACATCAGAATTGACCATCGGAACAAATTTCTGAGAAATAAGTCAACTTGGCAGTGAGTGTGTATTTAAACCTACTAGTCTTACCTTAGTTGGAAGTGATCTGTCAGTTTTTCGCAGTGTGTAGATTGAATCTGAGTAGATGATGAGCTATGTTTCTATTCACTGAGAGGGCATTATGTGGTTACCTGACTTTTTGCTCGTCAGATTTTAACTCTTCCAGCACCCGATGCAGGCTGCAGTGATTCAAATGACTAGCCATTACTGCATGAACAGACAACAAGGGTCAAATTTACTTGAATGGGTGAGTTAGAAAAATGTTCTTCAAGTGGCACTACTGACCTGATACGTAAGGATGTAACTTGTTTACTATTTATGCAGTACAGCGTATTTTGTAATTTAGACACTACGAATAGATGGACTGAACTATATAATTAAGAAAAGAGGCTTAATTTACTTCAGCTAGGGGAAGAGTGTTTCTGTCTATAGGGCTTAGTTCTCAACATGAATTCATTCTGTATAGGCGGCTCACTTATAATACCTGGATCCATATAGAATATCTTTATCCATCTACCTAGACGCGATAACATCAAGTTACGTTGACCTCCAGCAGAAATTCATAGACCTAAATTCTAATGTTTTTATAAGCTAAAATTTATGACTTGCTTTGTAGTAGTTTATTAAAATTATAGACATCATTACACTGCCCCTGATGGCAAGCTTTCCTATGTAATTTCATAATAACCAAAATCTGCCTTAAAAATCGACCTTTAGATTCAAACTTCAAAGCCTTCGCTTCTACTTCTATTCACTTATCAGAGAAATTAGTAGAAAACTACCAGCTTAATAACACAAAACGAAATAAACCCTAACTGTATAAACTTCGCCAAATCTCGTATACACATAGATTAATCGTTCATCAGAAGTTGTATAGCACTCAATATGTAAAATATTTTAGATGAGTAAAGTCGTTTTATGTATATATCCAGATACGCGTGTCTGCAAAAGTTTGAGTAGCTACAAGCAACAAAGTGTTAAAAAGTATCATCACTTTGAAAAATGACACCTGGAATGACGATGCAATTCTGAATATTTTCGGGTGTACCGTGACTTCTAATCGTAAACCCATAAATATACACTGCTAAAACATAGGAACACAAGTGTGATAATCTCCCTAGTTATAACTACTAAGAATTTTGGAAAAATAGGTCTGATTCCCTTTCATCCTAAAGTTTCAACAACCCGTGAATTTAGAATACATCACTTTTACGTGCTGTTTAATGATTCAAGCTTCTTCTTCATAAAAACCATCAAAAATGTGAGGCTATTTCCCCTATCATTTTAGTAATATACCACGTTATATGGTATTCAATTTGTCAGTGGTGAAAGTGTATATTTTATAGTGATGATAAAACGAAAAGTAGAAATAGTTAGTGGAAGATAGTCAGCAGAAAATCATCAACCTAGATGTTTGCGCTTGTAGACACTATTCAGTGAGACACGATTGAAACCTCAATGGAACTGATATCCCGCCTAAGATTTGAAACTACGTACTGCAGCCAGCGACGTTACTATTGAGCTGTTCACATCGCCGTTGACCGGAATATACACACTAATGTGTTACTAGAGAGTAACCGACATCATGTTGTCTAGTCTGGAGTGCTGATTGAATTCCATCTGTCATTTCACGTTATGACCACTCAACCAGTTTTGCAACCACATTAAAATCAGACAGATAAGACATCATCGAAACAGATGTAGCTAATCTGCTTCGAGTTAACAGTCTGACATAATAGCCTAATGACTGTATTCAAGGCAGTTAGTACGTCACTACGCATATTTATGTCCTTCAATAACAAATAGCTTATCAGTGTTTAAGCAGATATCGCCTGATGTCACCACTATATGCAGACAGCTGTAGACGTTAAAATACAATCTACCCACTTGGTAGGTTGTTATAAGTACATTTTATAGCTCGTTCAACCTTTGCAGAGGATGAAAAGTTTGATTTTCATTTATTCATGTATTCACTAACAACTCTTATTACATTACAGACTTTGTTAACGGTTCCATTTGTTTCAGTCTAACTTGCAAACATGGATCATTTTACATCATTGTACTCCATCTCCTAGCAGGCACTGACAAAACTCTGAATCCAGACACATTTATCCATGAATTGTGTCTATCTTAATTATTCTCCAACCCTCGTCAGTATGCACGTCATGTTTTGTACCACTGGAACGTTTCCGTTTTAGAGTCAAAGCTGGTCTGCTTGTCTTCAAATACACGTTAGATGCCAGTGGTACTGGGATTACTTGATCCGCGGGATATCTTAACTATGCTTTCAGATTATTTTGTTCTTCTGTAGAGGCATAACAACTAACTTCCTTTCTCAACAGTTGGAATATGGACACGAGCTATGTGCAGATCACTGTTAAAATAATGAGTGACTAAATGAATACAAATCATTGGCCTTTTGTTTCCATATTTCAGCTATCATGTTGATGCAGTGACTTCTCATGCAATACCGCTTTATTTCTTCATCTTATAACAAACTTTCATTCAGTTTACTAATCCTAACTCAATACTCTACACATATGGCTTCTAAAATTACTTGTAATTCGTTCATTTTACTGAATTTACTTAGACAGTCTCTTTTCCATATTCTACTTTACCACTTAGATGAATCATTTTTAAAAACGTATCTTTAGTATTCACTAATTTGTCTTATTTTCAACTTAGGATTATGTATAAGCCTAAGAGAAAATTAACATAACAGCTGATTAAAGAGGAAGTTACCCAAAGGATTATGGGTCAAATACACTTACAAATGAAATGGAGGAAGATGTTGATTCCAATACTATTATGATAGATTCCTTTCATATTTGATACTCCTGTCTGTCTCAAATTTTACGCACAAATTAAGTCTGAATATTCAAAATGTCTCAACATAAAATCTCCATGTTTTTTTCTGTTTGAAAATATATTCCTTTCGTTATTTTAGAGGATTTTTGTTCCAGTGTAATTTAGATTTTCTTTTGGATGCACATAACTTCTACTCTAACCATTATAAGAATGATGGTTTTTTCTAAGATCAAGAGATTTGATAAATTAGGCTGTCAGTCAGCAAAAATACTAATGTCACAGGTAATAGCTCTTACCAGCTTTTGACATGTGAAATGAGAGATATTTGAGGTATCATCATAGTTTTAATGGGTACGCATACATCAGATGAAAGCTTAAAGTGGTATATAGTACACTGCACTAGCATACCCTATCACATCACCTAGTTTGAATATGCGTAAAACTGATTATGACCCTTTAATTACCGCTACAGATTCAGTGGCTGCTTAGATTGGTTGCCATTCCATGACCAGCTTGTATGTAATCCTTATGTTTGGGAATATCTCTTCACACAAACCACTATTTATGATCATAAAAAGAATTCGTAAGAGGAGCAAAAACTCTAATGAGTTCTACATCCATCAGTAGCGAAATTATGATGTGCTGTCGTAGTATTATTTTTCCACGTTCATTATCGAAATCAGTGCTTGTGAAGAATACATTCTGAATCACAGAGCAGTCACTTCATTTTCTTAGGAGAGATCTTGCGTAGTTTGCAACACAGTTACAACTTATCATCTCATCCTGACCTTCCATCGTATATCTTGCAAATACTTTGATCTTAAGTGTTAGAGTTCACCGTAATAGTTGGTCACATTTGAAATAGTTGAAACGATTTCACTTTCAGAAAAAAAAACAGCCTTCGACACAATATTTATTGACTTGCCTCTGTATGATGCAACGCTGTTGTCCCGTAACAAAATGGTTTCTGTCTCACCAGTAATCAATGTTAGTCAGTTTGAAAGTTTATTTGTTAGTTATCCTTACCTTTCGGATTTTTATATCTTGTAAGGAGAAGAAGTTCAGTATTTATTAATTCTTTGTAAAGGGGATTATCCTACCAACACTGAAACCATTTTCTTATAACACTGGTACCTATAAGTTTTCCGTCTAACGCTTGACAGTTGCAAAGTATATTTCATTTGGTCAAACCTTTACGGAAATTCAGATCTTTAAATTGAATCACTGTTACACAACTGGTCAATACTGAATATTCCACTGATTTGGAAACGATCAGTATTATAAAATATCGAGGTGTGAATTGACATGGATTCAAGAAATATTGAAGAAATATAACAAGCTCGAAAGTTAGCCATTTACTTACAGTTTTTCAAAACCTTATGATCTATCACAATTACCTCAATTTTCCACTTCTCAGTAATCTTCAGTTTAATTTAAGATAGTAAACAGTCTTCAGACAGGCTATTATAAGCTAAGAAGGAAATTACATTTAACCCTGATCAGTTAATTAAAATATATCATTTGATCCTATGTGATCCATCATGAAATAGATGTTCCATGAAATAAACTTGCCAATTAATCATATAATGCTAAGGGATACATATGAGATCACGATGATGATGAATTGAAAAACGCTTCTATGTAAAAAGTGGTGAACATTGAATCACATCATAAATGATCAACAGATTATAAGAAAAGGGATAGAAAATATAATTACTAAAATATTATAGTATACTTTCATAACCTTTGACGAAGCTTTTGAATTACCGAAATAACTTCCACTGAATCCAACATCTATGGAACTAGAATGTTTACGAAAAACTTTCCGGTGGTTCTTGATTTGTTTTCTGGCCTGTTCCTGTGAAGAGGAAGACAATGATAAAGTGGAAGGAGATGAATTGTTTGGACTGGTGGATCTGTTGGATAGATTGATGGAATTTTGAGAGTTATATTCTATTAACTGACTTGATAAGGCCTCATTTAAATATTCAGGAAATTCAATTGACTCCTCCTGCAAAATATGTTCTTCTTCATAAAATTCATTTGAAAAATGATTACTAGAATAAACATTATTCTTTGTGATGACTAGGTCTGATTCACGTCCACTACTGATGGTAATACTTCCAATGAAAGAACCAGGAATATTTATAGTTATTATAATAAGTACTCTGATCAAGACGAATTCTATGATGCTGGAAAGCATTTAGAAAGTTTCAGATGAACAAAATAGTAGTAACCAAACTCTATAAAGATATAAATTTCTAGTGAATCATTTGTAGATTTATGCAGTCAAATTTATAGTTCCCACAATTAGTTATTCAATGGATCACATGATATATAACGTAAATTGAACCATGTGTATTTACATTTACAAGGAGATGACTTGAACATTTATTGAATAGATGCTTAGTTTAAACTGATATGTGAAATTAATTCGTCATTTCTAGTGTGCATAAGTTGTATTTTTGAAAACATGAAACGTTATGTATGGTAATAAGTGTTCAATTGTTTTATTATGCTCGTACATAAAAATACTCAAAGCTTCGATGAATAACTAAGTTTCCCAATAAACTTTATATGATTGACTGAAAATTTAATGAACTGAATTTCCTAGTTTAAGGCATTTACAAATCTAAAGACAATGCAAAAATCATAATTAACATTTACTATTGTCTGTCTACTTAACTGAAAAATGATGAAACTTATAAATTTTATCTGTTTTCATAAAAACAAAACGTTTAGATGTCATATGATTAAAATTATTTAGTGTTTTCAGTAGTTCAATTTTTCCGAATAACATCACGTACAGTAGAAATTTGATTCTGTGTGATAGGTGCATATATATTATTGAGGTGAATGAGGATTTTTAATTTAGAGGTAGTATTCATCATGGGCTGACATTAGTTAGGGAACTATTGAAAATCTGGCAGCACTGGACAGCTGTTTCGTCCCAGTATGAGACCCCTCAGCAGTTTGCATCCACGACTAGGCTAGAGGTTGAACTCCGGACCATCAAGTTCCACGGTGAACGCGTTAACCATTCAGCCACTGGGTGCGTACTGCTGAGGAGTCCAATAGTTGGACGAAACAGCTATCCAGTGCTTCCAGTTTTTCAATGGCTCCCCAACTAATGTCACTCCATGATGAATACTGCATATATATTAATTCTATTCTGAACCATTTCAACAGTCCTCATCCATCAATTCATTTTACATACGAAATCATTGATTTCATACATTTTCTTCATGGGCTAATGACAAGAAACAAAGCCGACTGTATATTGAGAAGTATATATAGAAACTCAACATCTAAGACACAATATATATACTTTCTCAGCTTCACACCGATGATGTACATACGTAATATAATCAAGTGCCTGGCTTTTAGAGTAAGATAAATTTGTTCTAAGGAGTGTGTGGAAAAAGAACTAATGTGTATCCATGATATTCTAAGTGGAAACGGATATCCAGACAAATTAATCAAGACTAACATCAACCACATTGGTACTAAATGAAAACTGATGACAGTGGAGAGGAAGCCTTAGTTTGTGTGCTTACAATTTGAGGGAAATATTGCGAGTAACATTCTATCACAATGTCTAGTTAGAGCAGTCAATAGGACGTTGTAAGCAGGCCAACTTTGCATATCACTCAGTAGTCGGGCAATGCACAATCGAAGACTAGACGATAGCCTACTCAATCTTAGCTCTCTATCTTGTAACTTCCGAGTTAACTGTTCCTGTGGAACTAGTTGCATAAGGCGTATGATTAGGCAGGTGCGTTTGTGGATATGAGAGCACCCATGAGCTTGGTTCGGAAAGGATTAAGTGGAAGTGGTGAAAACTTCAGTCCTAGTACATCTAGTTGACAAAAGGTATCACATAGACGCTAATAAAGCTTTCAGTGTCATTCATCGAGTCCCGAAAATAACATCACATTTAGCTTATCAACGTCTGTTCAACATAGTGGAGGCTTTTGCAATAAGATTGACGAAGTCTGAACTCTGCATTCAGAAAGAACATGTTCAAGTGTTACTTCTGCCATCTTCTTCGTTATCTTTTTGTTCACCATCATATCATTCTTGTGTATATGTATCATCCCATCCGACTTCATGTCTTCCCGTCCTGGGTGCTGACCAAACTCTATTGATAATTTTGCTGTTTGACCACTAAGTTGGAAGGCTCATCGTCATGATAAACTTGGATAGGCTTCCTGACGGTTGCCTTCAATAAACTAAAATCTGATAACTACTTCCATATCACAATTTAAATTACTTGGTAATACTTAATATTTTGATCTGGTAACACCAATAACTGATAAAGTATGCAAGCTATCCTTATCAAACCTTCAGCTGCTTAAAATTAACTGATAAAAAACATCCACTTAGGTTCATTGTTTATTCGTTGGTACTGATGATGTGACTTAAACTATTTTTAATGGTATCTTAGGGCAATATTTTCAAACGTAACACTGAGACATACGTTTCCCATTTCAAGACAAATTATTAAGCTGGAATTAGGACTCATTGATAGTCACCGGTTAACGTCATTACAAAATAAACGAGATTTTATCAGCTAGCTGCAAAAAAATGAACACTGAAGAAATACGAAAAAACCTCATCTAACTCAGTTTATTTTTACGAGAAGGTCTGCAAAAACGTAAGCTCCCTTCTTAGGCATGAATGATCAATAAAACACTGAAACTCAACACACTGAGACATGATGTATTATGACAGGTTCAAGAATGTTTTACTGTACAATAACAAACACTCACAAACAAACGTACGTAAAATAGTTTTCATTTCTAATACACTATACCATTTGGTTTCTTATGATAAAATGTGACCAAACAACGCTTATAATCAAGTTCTGACTATAAATGTGACAATGATTATGGTCTTTTAAGGGATTAAGTCCTTCTATAAGGATGATTCGAACGAAGATTGGAAAGGTGGAAGATTGAAACATAGCCTCAGCATTTCAGATAAAGAGGAAGGCCTGCTGATGAACAATGAGAAGTAAAGGATATACATAATTTTCATTGAATCAAACAAGACTAACCTGATTCAAGCAAACCGAAATTCTTAGAAATAAATATGTGTATATATAGCGTTTTCATGAGGTATCGTCATTTGCATAAGTTAGGAATTTCGTAAGAATTAGCACTTGAACTGTTGGTAACACTAAATATCAAGATACTACTCAACTCTATCAAACTATTAAGATCATTGTTATCAAGCAATGGTATTTCAAAGAATATAAGGAAGAGTCATAAGACCCATTTAACTGATACACACCAGTCGATGTGACGAACACAAGGTTCTAGTTTATAAAGCGACCCGCCGGAACAACTAGAATAACGTAATATAAGCACTAGCCTTATGAGGCAATAGAAAATTGTGAACACTTTAGTGTTATCAACAAATATTCTTTTTTTGAATATGCTTTATTCAAGAATAGCCATGTTACCTTTTTTCAGTCGATAACAGTGATACTCATAAAGGCTATGAAGTATACCAAATAGCTTTATGGTAGTTAAAGAGTAGTGAGTAGACGCACAGATTAGGAAAGTCATGGTTTTTTCTAACTCATTTCTGTTTATAAGACCCGGAAATTTGGTGAGGTAAATCACAAACATAAGACATATAACTCAGAAAGACGTGAAAAAGTCAATGGAAGTGGCAAATTAATTAAGTATTGCGCAATAAGATTAAACAAGTTGGTTAAGATAAAATTAATGTTTTGTAAAAATATTAGGACAATTAGGTGAAATAACACCGGAGACTAATCAAAGTGAAGGCAATTATAATAACAATAATAGTGATAAAGGAAAGATACAAAGATTAAATTAACAAAGGGAGGAGAGGAAACTAGTAGGGGAAGGAAAATGTTAAGGTCATGGTCAAAACAGCGAGTGTATATACTTTTTTTACACACAGATCAGGCTTTTGTTCATGAATAGCCAAAGTCTCTGCTGTTCTAATGAGTTGAAAATGAAGGAAACGTAGGAGGTTTGGGCGAATGTGATAAATAATTTTAAAGTCACTGTCTGGGTTTGTTAAGTGATAGAAATCAATCAGATGTCCTGTAATCGACCTTCTAGCATACTTTCTTTCACCTTTATAAAATCAAACAGGAAAATGTTCTCGTATGAGTTCAGAAAGCATTCTCTGGCTACAGCCGATGTATCTTGCTCCAAAAGAGCAGGTGAACTGGTATATGTACATAGAGTCAGTCAAACGAGGAAGCCTATCTTTAACACAAACATAGTTCACGGCTGGTAGAAGTCAACTGAAGTCTTTCTACGAAGAAGGTTCTATCGATTGATTTACGTAGACACTTCTTAAGTGATCTAGTGCTAGGTCACCCTTAAATTCTAGGCTCATGAACAGTTTTTTCTTTGAGACCGAGTGGATGAACGTTCTAGTGTTTCTTTCTCGCATATTTTTTTCAATAAAACGACACGGGTAACCTTTATCACTTTTATTGTTATTATCATTGCCTTCACTTTGATGATTCTACTGTGTTATTCCACCTAATTGTCCTAACCTTTTTACAAAGCAATGACTTCCATCCACTTGAGTTACAAATATTCTCCATTATTTCAACACTGATTTCATCTTAACCAACTTGTCTAATCTGATTGCGCAATACTTAATTAATTTACCACTTTCATTAACTTTTTCACGCCTTTCTGAATTATATATCTTCTGTGAACCATTCCATATATTATATAATCTACTTTGTTATTAGTCATACTTCAACTGCTATCATAGTCACAAACACCAGTCATCATCCGCCTTATTATTATAGTCATCATCATATAGTGTTTAATTTTCCTCATGGGGTATAATTTCACAAATATCATATATATACACAAATGTACAGATTGAAAATAAATTCGTTGAAAAGACTCTCTTCGCTGAATATCTTGCTCTTGTTATTACAGTTGGAGTTATTAAATTAAATCACAAATAAACTTGCTCTGGCGAGTGCTTATGATAAGCGTTTATGTCTCACTACCTTGCTATGGAAGAAAACAAAGTCAATGATCAAATGCTTAATTGCAGGCAAAGAGGCTGCCTCAATGCTATAATGCTACCTATCAAATTTAACTGGCAAACACTGAGTTAACTACAATTCCTATTTTTATTCAAAATCATATATACGAAAACTGTAAATAATAAGGTAAGGTACTTCCGTTCGAGGAATTAATTTGAGCGGAAATATAAAAGTGTAGTCTAACCATATCACTGTTGAAATACTTTAGGTTATCATGTAGAACTTCAAGATAAGATAAAGGTAGTCATTCTGCTAGCTAAACTTCCACAAAAAAACCTACTTCATTTTCAATATCTCCCAGTGAATTTATAGCATATAAATAGTGTGCGTAATTTAATAATATGCACTTTTGAACAGACAACATCTTAAGTATATGTTTGCACAACCAAAGTGCCGTTAATAACTAAAATTATTATTTAGAATAATTTACTAAAACTTGTTAACGTATATTTTTTATTCAGCAATCTGATAATTACATGAAATATACTGAAGTATTTTTTAAAAAAAAGGTATTTTCTTAATTTATTTCCTTTCAATGTTATTTATCATTTAGGAGTTTATCTCTGACATTGCGTTGCGTAACCTTTAAACACTACATTACACTTGATATCAAT